TGTCCGCCTGCCACTTTGCCCGACCTCCGTATCGGCTATCTTTTTCTTGCCCGACCTTCTTTTGCCCGACCTGAGCGCATACTGTTTTCCCCTCTTCGTCCGTCCTCTTCTTGCATGACCTCTCAATCACAGGTTTCTCCCGAGGAAACTCATCTTTTAATAATGCTTGGGCCCATTTCTAAGGTCCTACCACTATCGACAGGCCCATTTAGACTCTACAACAACCCTTAGTCCAATTTTCTAAGCCCATTCTTGAGAACCCTACACATTGTTTTTTCTCGCTCAACAATAATTTATATAATTTTTCAAAAAAATAAAAAGATTTAGTAAATTAAAATCGGAATCAAAATTAATCGTAAAAATTAATATTAAGAAAAAATCGAAAAAAAAGTATATAAACTGGCGGTTCAAACCGTAATCGCAGTTTTTAAACCGAAACTGTCGGTTTATAAACCGTAACCGAAACCGTCATTCGGACGGTTTGATTTCGGTTTGAAATTCTGGCAAACCGTAACCGGCGGTTTGAACCGTTTAGGCAAGTCCATAAGGGAGTTCTCTTGCAGGAATGACCAGGGGAGTTGAGATCTTCTCTTTTAGATTAGTTTTACAGCTTTGTTTACTGCTTTCTTGGTGTTTTCTTTATGTAATTCTTTACTGTTTTCCGTAGTAAGTAATGAAATATCAAGATTTCTTCATTCTTGCTTCTTTCCCTTCCTCATATTTGTATAAGCATGATTAACTTGGAATTTTGTGTCACTGAGAAAGAATATAGAATAATCAATTATCTGAGCCTAGTTTCACGGCGTATTCATTAACAGATTCTAGGTAGCAATGTAGTTAAATACGCGAGAACCTTGTCGATCTGCTTAATTACTGTTCTGAATTCTGTTTTGATTAAAGAGAGGTAATAGAAGGGTAAAGCCATTAATGAGACATAAAATAGAATAATTAAAGGGACATAGGTTCTTGTCTATCGGGTCATAGAAATGTCTAGTGACAGTAGCATTTCTTATTTATAATGTTTTATGTGTGGGCGTGATTGAAATCTTATTGTAAATCTATGGTCAAGTATCAGCAGTTCAAATTCTGTGTAAATCTGCTTGTATGATTACATTCACATCTTCCGTCGCTTACGTGTTTATATGTATAATTTTCGCTTATTCACTAGCGCAGCTTTCTCATCTCATCCATAAAATTTTAGCCATTAAGGAACGCACAGATCACACACAACATTATCTAGTCATTCCGCTCACTTAGCATATAGATATATCGCTTCTCTTCATCCTCTCGCTTCCGCTCATTTGCCGCTTTCACTACCTCCATCGCTCGCCATTATCGCTCTCGCTCATCCTACCGCTAATTTTTACACGCTTTCTTTAATTCTGTTTTGGAGTAATCTATTTCCTGCAAGCGAGCCCCTTACCGCTTTCCCGTTACGCATCACCAATTTTGTTCTTGATGAATTTCGCGAATTAAAATTCATGTGTTCGATCTGGAAACTCACCAGTTAAATAATATAAATAATTTTGATACGCTATTCGGGATCTACAACTTCATTTTTTTTTAATCTATATCTAACCATGCACAATATTGCACACTTCACTTTATTTTCATTACAAATTTCCAGTACTTAAATCAACAAATTGCAGGCTATCAAATATGAATAATTATAGAAATGTATAATACTAATTTTAAAATTAATAATTTAACCAGGTTTGGGACATAATCGGATTAAAGACAAGGTTTTTTTGTTTTTTGTTTTTTTAAATCAAACACACAACTCTTTCCAAATACGATTAAATTCTTAAAATCTATAATCCGCTCTAAATATTAAATTTCAAAATCGAACTCGCCCTATTAAAGCCTGGGACATGACCGGGCCGGGGCGAGACCCACCCCAATTGACATCAAACATGTGTGGTATTCATACTAGGCGAACCATATATGATAAATGGGGTCTGGAGGCGTCACGGATTTAAATCCATGACCTCCAGATCACGAATTTACCACACACCACCAGGACAAAGCAAAATCTATAACAAAAAATAATAAAAAATATTAAAAATAGTGAATGTGTTCGATTTTTATTTGAGTTTGAAATTTTGATTTGCTTTAAATAATATTTTATGAGATACAAACTTAAATAGTGTATATTTATATATGTGAACTGAATAGCGTATATTTGACCTTGAAATCATAAATAAATAAAAAAGCTTTGTATAGTTAAGAGACAAATCTCATATCCAAATACATCCCACAAGTGTATTAATTGAGACTATATGTTGGATGCTTTATAGATGTAACTTATGTTAATTTTAATATATATTGTATAAGCTATTATTATATATTTTTTTGGTTCATTAAATTTATATTTTATGGGTTTTTTTTATCAAATGGGTTATTTGGAGTTTTTGTAATAACTTAATAAATAATATTATTTTATTAGTTAGTGAAAATGTGTAAGAGATTTTGATATTTTTGTCTTTTGATTTTATGTATAAAATAAATGTATGTGTAAATATATGTTTGTAATTTAGATAAAAATTAATGGTACTTTGGTATTAGTGTATGATTGATTATTTTTTCTAAAATAGAAACTGAATACTTTGAAATAATATACACGAAAATGGTAAAAAAACGTACTATGAATTGGAACGGAGAGAGTATATTTTTTTCCTTAAAAAAAATTATAATTTTTATTTATAGCAAAAATATTTTACAAAATTCATAATTTATACCATTGAATTGATTTGTAATTTATACACGACTTATATATTACTTGTAAGTAAGGGGATGTATTCAATTGGAATTTCAATTTATTTATTTTTTTTTTAAAAATTATTAATTTATGTGGACTTAGAAAATTCTCATAGTTTAGATGAGTTTGATGGATTTTAGCAATCAATTTAGATAGATTTTTATAGATTTGATTGAAATTTTTGTTATAGATTTATATGAATTTAGTAGGACTGTAGAATATTTTTTTTTATTATTATTATTGATATATATACATATAATTATATAAATTTTTATTAAAACACAAGTTTTATAGATATAAAATATTTAAAATTAAAGTTATTACTGTATTCGATAATTGAAAATGGTTGACAACACCGGAATGACAATATATTGTATTCGATAATTGAAATACAATAATTGAAAAGAAAATGCGACAGTAATACATATTTATTTGGATAATAAATATTATATTAATATTATATTTATAATATGGAAATATATATTTTCTAAAAAATTGATAATAATTTACTAATATATTTTAGTTTTATAAATTATTATTTTTATTAAAATTATAATAATATTAATAAATATTATAATATTATTTATCACTTATACAATTAGAGTAACTACTACAACAACAACAACAATAATAATAATAATTTTAATAATGTATTCAAATTTCTGTTTATGAGAAGAGATTTTATACTATACAAATTTTTCATAATTTTTCATCAAAATTCATATATTTTTAAAGTTTATTGATGGTTGAATACCTCAGAATTTTTTAAAAAACTTTTAGAACTCTGGATTGAATACATCAAAATTTTAAAAAACTATTAAAAGTATAGATTGAATACATCTAAATCTTTAAAAGAATATTAAAAGTTTCGATTAAATACAACTAATATTTTAAAAGTCCAATAAAATTCTATAAAATCATGATTAAATACAATGTCTTAAAATCAACTTTCAATTTACAATTAATGGTCCTCGTATGCTTGCCATTTGATAATCCTAAAGCCATATAAAAATAAAGGTAAAATATAGGCAAAATTGTTCGAAAATCACATTTAGTTTCACAAAATTCCGTTAAATTCTCATATTTTCAAAATTGTATCAAATTTTATAATGATTTTATAAACTTTGCATCTAATCTCCTCCGCCGTCCTTATTTAACAATGTTTTACGGTGCCCAAACTGCGGATGAGTTTCAAAAATTCTATTTGTAAACCCTGAAGTTACAAATATAGTAATTCCTTTTATATTTAGCTTCAAAAAACACTAAAAAAATTTTATCAGAATTAGAGAAAAACAAAAAAAAAAAATTAGTACTATATTTTTATTGTTCCTTAAAGTTAAATATATATAAAAAAATATATTTATAATTTCAAAGGTTTAGAGATAAAAAAATTTGAAATTCTTTCGTAATTTGGACACGTACATGTCAAACACTGTTAAATAGGGATTATGGAGGAGGTTAGACGCAAAGTTTATAAAAGTATGAGAAAGTTTAACGCAGTTTTAAAAATATGGAGATCTAACGCAATTTTGTAAAACCACGAGTGAATTTCGTGCAATTTTATCTAAAATATACTAATATTCTCTTGTATTTTAGTAAAAATATATAAACATTTCGTATTTTATTTGTTGCGTAAAATCTACTTGTCTTAAATTAAAGTTTGCACGTAACACCTTATACGTCCAAAGATGATGTTATATAAATATGAATCTAATTATGCAAGTTTTATATAAATAAAATATGTGAATTTATTAAATACTCTATTATTTTTAAAATAAATAAATAATTGATTAAATTTTCATTTATTGTTTTTCTAGACAAGCACTTATCTAGTTTTTACAAAAATTATAAAAATAAAGAATTAATCATATATTTAGTTATTTATTTTATTCATAAAAAAATATTTAAAATATTTGATCTTTTTTATTTATATAAAATATGCATAATTTAAATTCATATTTACAATTAAAATATCAATTTTGAAAGAAAATAATATTTCATGTCTATTTTAATTAACAGAAAAAATTTCACTTAATAATTAAAAAATATTCATATTTTTTGTATTTTTATTAAAATACGAAGAAGGATTATATAATTACCAATAATAATAATAACAATAATAATAATAATAATAATAACCTCCTTAAATATACACATTTTTTAAAAAAACTTTATATTAAGAAGCACACATAATATAAAATAGAAACGACAAATGCACTCACTCACTTGAACTAGGCAGGCAGGCAGGCAGGCTAAAAATAGCTAATCGATGGATCATTCGACAGGATGGATTGTGTAAAAAGTCTGAAGGAAAGTGAGACAGAGCACAAAAACTCCGGCAAAGACGGCAATGGCAGCCCAAGGACTGCGGCAGTAAGTGTGGGCAAGATCAGCCATCCACGTCTTCCCCTTGCTCCGACAGTGCTTGCTAATGGCCGACTTCACCTCTAAGAAATCCTTGTAGTTGTCGGCCCCGTAGGTGTCGATCTCTTTGAACACATTCACCACTTCCTCGTCGCTCCCCAAACTGCTGAACAATATCCCTCTTTCCCGCAGCTCCTTCACGTCCTTGGCAGTTTCCATCAACGGCTTCATGAAATTAAGGTAAGACAGAAACTCCCCCTCCGTCTGATACCTCGGAGACATCTCGAATGCCGCCATGTTCGAGAACAAAACCTTGGTGCTGCCATTGACCACCAAAATCGGGAGGTAAAGCACCCCGTAAACATGGTACGACACGAATTTGATGTCCAGCAAGCACCGGGAACTCGGCCGGAAATAAATCCCCTTTGCTTGAAGATACGTCACCGATCGACATGGAAAGTTTAAGAATTCCAGAACGTTTTCAACTTCCGCAGAATCATTGCTCACGCCACTTTCGGCGTCAGCCTCGGCTGGGGTCTTGGTCCAATTAATTATTCTTTTACAATTACAGCAGCTACCTAAGATTTTTGTAAGAAAATAGGGTTCTGTATCTACCTTATCCTCTCGTCTCAGTAAAACTCGTCGAGTGGCTGCAAGAAGATGCATTGGCAAGCGGGTTTTGTAATAGCCGTGTTCGTCATCCTTCCATGGAAGGCTTTTCAGCTGAGTTTTTTTATCGATCAGATCGCATATTAAGCTTAAATACTCGGACAAGATCTTGTTGGCCTTATCCTTGCCATGCCTAGAATCGAGCAACAGTTTGATGACCCAAAAGGGGATCTGATTCTCGAGCATGAACAAATCCCGCTGCATTAGGACACCGGCGGCGATGCCATGTTTATCGCTGAACAAAAGTTGTGCCGCGCCGATTGTGAAGACGTCGATGAAGTGGATGAGGAAACATGCGTCGCGGAGGATGATCTCTGCCAGTTTCTCGTTGCTGAAGGGAACCTTCTCGTAATTCTTTTTGATCTTTTCTATGTTTGAGATGATCTTGTCGTGGAAGAACTTCCGGTCTTTATTTTTGTCCCAAGCCTTGCTGGCCTCGACGAAATTTTTAAGGACCTTCTCTTTTTGTTTCTCCATCGGCCGGAGATGGCGTTTGCCGTGGTGGTAGGGGCCCAGCGAGAGCACCACCGGGTCGTACACCTGCCGGTTATTGCGGCTGTGGCGGCGCATGTAAGGGGTAACTCTGTAAATTCGATGGTAGACATCGTCGTCGGCGTCGCTGTCGTTGATGTGCTCGGCCTCTGCCTCCACCACCACCTCCAACTCCGCCGCCGGCGGGTTTTCGATGTCGGGAGGAGCATCGTGGTGGGATTCTGCAGCGGCGGCGGTGGGGTTTTCAGGTGAATCCGCCATTGATGGATTGGAGAAACAGAATTTATGTATAGTGTCGACCCTACAGTGTACTTGTGGCTAAGTTGTTATACTCGTTTACCAATCAAGGTTGGCCACAGGTTTTTGCTCCACCAATCAATTATGAGTAATTTCTAGATAAGGTTATTTGATTTTGATTTTTATTTTTTAAAATAAAAGTGTATGTTTATAATTCAATTATTGAATTGTATATGTATATATGAAAATGAAAATAAATAAATTGTACAGTCGATTTGAGATGGACTAAAGGAGTTATATCTAATAATGTCCTGATAGGCGGAGAGCAGTACTCGTGGGACAATCTAAATTAGCATGCAGGTAAAGATCCAAAAACCGGCTACACCTAAGAGCTCCATCTTTGAAATACCAGCCAATAATAAATAATAAGTATATAAATTAATTTTATATTTATGATTGATTATATAAGAATTAATAATATATATTTTTATTTTAAAATCTCAGGTGAAATGACAATTTAATATAGTATCAAATTTCCGAAGTCTTCATGTCTTGCATGTACATATGATTAACCTATTACTCTCTCCCTCCTAGAATTATAGTCTTGGTTGGGTTAGAGACGAGATTTAAAAAATATTAATATTATATTAATAGTGGGTAAAAAGTATAGGTAAAAGATTTTTTTACCCTTGTAAGTGTATTAATGTAAAAATAGTGGCAATTGTGTAATAATAATGAAAGAGTAAAGGTAGTTTTATAGTGATATAGTTATTTATGGAAATAAGACTATTGTTTTGGGACGAAAAAAAATAGTAAACAAGACTATTGTATTGAGACAGAGGGAGTATTACTTATTTTTTCAGGTTCAGTTTGCAAATTATTAAATTCAACTGAGAAAATTTACCCAACACTTAAATAATATGTACGAATTCCCACACCGTCAAAAAATAAATTATTCTCTTCATCCATTCCACTTAATTTGTCTCATATTTTTATTTTCATCCGTCTCACATAATTTATCATTTCTTTTTTTGGAAATATAATTATACACTTTAATCACATTTTAAAATTCATAATTTATTATTTTTTATATTTTAATTAAACTATTTAGTCATTTTAGTCTCCATCTATAATTATTTTTATTAAATAATACTCCCTCCGTCTCATATCTATATATCGATTTGCTTTCTGCACGGAGTTTTAGAAAAATTAGTATTATATTAGGATAAAGTACAAATAAAAGTAAAAAAAGGCTAAATTAACCCTATTAGGATTGTATGATATAAAGATAATGACATTTGTATAATATATTGTAAATTAGAAGAGTATTTGTAATGTTAGGTAGATAGTACAATTACTAAAAAAATGAAATAGATACTTTGTTATGAGACGGACCAAAATGGATAGATTGTCAAGGGACGGAAAGAGTAATTATTTTTACTAATACACTTTTTAATTACTTACTAATTATACAATATCTAAAACTCTGTGTCTAAGCTAAATAGAACAATTTAGCTGAGACGGCTGCAATAATTAATTAGGACGTCATGTGTTTAAATCGAAGGCTCATATTCATCATCATTTTACAAAATTCATGTATCTCATAATTGTATTGATTTTTTAGCCCACCCCAACTACTCCAGCGATTCTTTCTTTCTTTACATATAATATTTACATATAATTTTCATTATATCTTCACCAACCTGATTAACAGTTTTTTTAAAATATTATACTACTATTATCATTCTTTTGGGAAAAAAAAAATAAAAGAAACATTCAAATTTATATCATATACTTAATCATAGTCATAATTAATTTCACCCTTTTGATACGAAAAATTAATTCAAAGTCTAAAAGCTCAACTGCTACAATAAAATAAAAGAATATGGGAGGAGACGATAAGGAGAACACAAACAGTCCCGGAGAAAATCACGCAATGACAATAAAGAGAAAGATTCTTCTAGTGAGATATCGAGTTCTTCTATGTCAATCCGATTTATCTAAGGTGATGTTTATTTTTGCTATCTTTGTTCTTCATCTTATGACTAACGAGTATATTACTTTTCTAGTTTATGAATGAAAAGAAACAACTTTGTATGGATTTTTGAGATTAGACTTTGTTTTTATTTTATATTATTTTTTGGTTCTCAAGTATTTTTCTAATTTTTTATTTTAAAGATATGAATAAACAGGCAGGTGCAGTACACTGCCGTTTTCGATTCGGCTCGGATCGATACGAAATTCTCAGAATATAATGCTAGGACTACGAATAGGCTATTAGCTAAAGAAATTCGCCGATTAAATAGCCAAATAGCCAGTTATGAATTTTTGAAGAATTTCTAATTTAATATTCCCAATATCGAAATTCATATTAAACCCATAATTAAATTCTACGTATAACAAGGAATACAATACCAAAGTCAGAATCAAAATCGAACGGCTAAATCTTTTTCTTTCTTCTTTTCTTCTTTCTCTTCTTTCTCCCTCGCGTTCTTCTGCTTCGGCCTTCTTTCATAGGTGAGTTTGGTTTACACATATAATTATATTATTATTACTATATATTATATTATACTCCCTCCGTCCCACATGAAATGATACCATTTCCTTTTTTAGTTGTCCCACCTTAAATGATCCCTTTCTATTTTAAGTAAAGTTTATCAAATCAAAACATAATTAACAATAACCATTAAAATTAATTATCTTATTATATTATTAATATAAAATATTTTATTTTTAATATATAAATAAACAAACCCACCCAAACCCATAATATGATTAAAACAAATAATTAAATCATAAAAATTATAACAGCTTTGCAATTCTTTTTCCTCTCCCAACAAAAGCCCTAGTCGAAATAATGTCAAATCCATCACTTGTGGCAGCTTTTCTGAAATCGGCATCATCATTTTTGATATGTGATCTAGCGTTATCTTGTTGAATATAGATTCTTTTTGTCATGTTGGCTGGCCATTTCTTCTTTATGACTGGGATAATCTGAAAAATAAAATAATAGACACATTCAATCTTTTCAAAGTTAGCAAATGCATATAATAAAATAGAATAAGTTGGATTGTGTTAGTTTGAATGAACACTAGTGCAATCTAACGTTTTATAAATTCAAATAGTAGTATACTTACTTTGTCAATTAAGCAAACCTTAGTAACATCCTTTGTAATTGATTGAATAGGCTTGGTGATTAGGGTGCCTGCTGCCCGATTTTTACTACTTCTTTTTGCAGCTTCCTTGTAAGTAAATGGGAAGATACCAATTTTTCCATCAAAAATCAGCAAACCATCCGCCCCATATATTGGTTTTGAGACTGCGCACATGAACATAATCTTGGTAATAAATGCCTTGTTTTGACATGTTCTGTGTGGATCTTCTTCTTCCGGAGTCATATAGAATCTATGTGAACCTTTAGTGATATAAAATCACTTCTCATCTATGTGTATGACATTATCCATGCATTTAAATTGAATAGCCTCTTCAATTGAAGAGTAAACAAGTTGTTCAAGTGCAAACTGCAGCCTGAATAACTTGTTTGGTGCTGTCAGATCTGGTTTAAGAGCACTTGTGTGTGCTCTTAAGGCTCCACTTGAAATCCACCTCTAAACAGTACTTTTAGAACAATTGATTGATGCAGCCATACTTCGAATAGAACTTCTTTTTTTGAGGGGAATACTAGCAATCAACTTATAATTTGGAAGCACTTTCTTTGGTTTAAAAACATTTTTCTTTTTACTGCTTGAGTAAATTACTTCGCCATTATCCAATTGTTTTTTGGCATCCCTCCAGTACCGACTGACAGTACACTTAGAATATGAAAAAAATTTTTGTGCCTCCACCATTTTTCCAAAAGCAGGTTTTCCATTCTTAAGATTCCTAAGTAAAAATTGAACTATTGTGTTACGCTCACTATCACTGCGATATTTCTTCCCTGTCATTGTAGGCCAGATGTCAAGGAAAAACTTATATTGAGATGATCAGAGGGCAAGCTACAGTTTGAGATAAAGTAAAAATAAATAAATGAATAAATTTTACATAGATAAATAATTGTAAAATAAAATAATGAAGCAAATTTACCTTTTTCAAAGACATTCCAAAATTTTTTATCCATTCTCTACTCTACTGCATCTTGACTGATCTCTGTATTTTTTTGTGAATGGTAGTGCAAAGGTTAAACTTTTTGTGGTCCCTTGGTGTAGTTTATAGTATATGTAATTTTGGAGGGAAACTATTAGGAGGGAAAGCAAAATTTGGGGAGTATTTGATAGATTCATATCCAGATTGTTTCTTGGTTACTGCAATTGACTGGTTGATGTTGTATCTTTGATTTGTTATACTCTACCCTGCAGTATCTTTTTGCTACAATTGATGCTGTATAATTTTGTTATTGTCAAATTTGGAATGACTTATTATGTTAAAATTATGGTTAGAATGATTTTTTCTAGTTCTATTATTGTTGATATTATGTTTTTATTATCAAATATGGAATGATTTATTACGTTGTGTTAAAATTTTCGCTGAATTGATTTCATAGTTATGTTTGATATTGTATTTTTATTATTAAATTTGAAATAACACGTTATGTTAAAATTATAAGTTAAATGATTATAGTTTATTACACAGAAAATATAAAACACAATATAAAACTTTTCCTATTAAGACTAATTTTCATATATTAAATTAATTTAATTTTAATTCAATATAAAATTTTCATTGTTAATTTTTTTTACTAAACATTTAAATTTATTAGATTTTAAAATAAAATAAAATAATTAAATATTATTAAAATTTAAATAATATATAAAATTATTAACAATATTATTTATATAAAAAATTAATAAATTTATAATATAAACTATCATAATTAGTTCACTAAACTACCTACTTTAACTCACTAAATTATATTACCTTAAATACCGTGCCACAACCCAAAGGTATCATTTCAAATGGGACGGAGGGAGTATTATATTATTATTAACGTTATTATTATTATCATCCTTATCTTTATATTTTATTATATATATTATATTTTATATTTATCCTTATCGATATTTATCTGTTTAACAGTCTTTTCAATCATAATCAATATATAAAATAGGAATAAAATTTATTCCAAAATATTAATTTCTTGATCCCAAAATATTATAAAAATATTTATTTGCTATAATAATATTATTTTATATACTCCAAAATCGGGGTATTACAATTCACTCCCCCTTAAAAGATTTCGTCCTCGAAATCTAAACTCAAACGCATGACAACACTACTTAATTAAACAAATGTGGGTATGCTTTGAACATCTCTTGTTCTACTTCCCACGTGGCCTCTTCTGCTCCATGCCGGGACCACATTACCTTCACTATACGAATATCTCGGTTCCTCATAGTTCGAACCTTTGTGTCCATGATCCAAAGAGGCATTTCCTCATATGAAAGATCCTCATTTAGCTCTAACTTATCCGGAGATAAAATATGAGAAGGATCTGCGATATACCTACGAAGTTGTGATACATGGAACACATTATGAATTTGTTCCATGGAATTAGGAAGTGCTAATCGATAAGCCCAATCTCCAACTCGATCGAGGATTTCATAGGGTCTAACATAACGCGGACTCAGTTTTCCTTTAATTCCAAATCTTCTAATACCTTTGGAGATACTTTTACCAGGACGAAATCTCCACTTTGAAATTGACCTTCACGTCGGGCTTTATCGGCATAACTTTTTAGGTGATCTTGAGCTATCTTCATCTTCTCCCTGATAACTCGAATCTTATTTTTTGATTCTTTGATCATTTCTGGACCTAATATCAGTCGATCACTCATATCATCCCAACTTAAACGAGTCCTGCATCTTCGTCCATAAAGAGCTTCAAAAGGAATCATTCCAATACTTGTTTGATAACTATTATTATATGAGAATTCCACTAAATCCAAGTGGTCCTTCCAACTTCCTTGAAATTCTATTACACAAGCTCTTAGCATATCTCCAGAATACGGATAGTTCGCTCTGATTGACCATCAGTCATTGGATGGAATGCAGTACTCATATGCAACTGAGTACCAAAGGTTTCTTGCAATTTTTGCCAAAATCGAGATTGAAAACGTGGATCACGATCCGATATGATTACCTCAGGAATACCGTGTCGTTTAACCACATGATGAACATATAATTTGGCCAACTTCTGCATACTCCAAGTCATACGTATTGGGATGAACACTGCTGACTTAGTCAATCTATCTATAATCACCCAAATTGCATTTGTTCCCGACTTCGCCCTTGGAAGTCCTGTCACAAAATCCATTGCAATAGAATCCCATTTCCAGAGCGGAATTTCTAAAGGTTGTAACAACCCGATTGGTCTATGATGTTCTGCTTTTACCTTTTGGCAGTTTCAACATTGTGCAACGAATTTGGCTACACCCCTTCCACCAAAAATGTTGACGTAAGTCTTGGTACATTTTAATCCCCCCTGGATGCACTGAATGTGGTGTATTATGAGCCTCACACATAATTTTCTCCTTCAAATCGCTTCGGTCCTTTGGGATACACCACCTCCCATGGAATCGAAGACTCCCATCTAAAGCAATATTAAAGTTTTGAGTCTGACCGCACTGAACTTTTATAGCCAGCTCGACCATTTTATTATCTTCCATTTGAGCCGCTCTAATATGACAATAAATTTCAGGCTCAACTTGCATCATTTGCAAATATCCCCGCGTCATGCCCCATCCAAGTACTTCAATTTCCATCCGTGCTAAATCTTGACACAGTTCATAACTGACATAAAACCCAACTTATGCCTTGGTTTTCGACTCAAAGCATCGGCTACAACATTTGCTTTACCTTTATGATATACAATTTCGAGATCATAATCCTTCACCAATTCTAACCATCTTCTTTGTCTTAAATTTAATTCTCTTTGGGTGAAGATATATTTCAGACTCAGATGGTCAGTAAACATTCTACAATGGGCACCGCAAAGATAGTGCCTCCAAATCTTCAAAGCAAACACAACTGCTGCCATCTCCAAGTCATGTGTAGGATAATTCTCTTCGTGAGGTTTTAGTTGTCGTGACGCATAAGCAATAACTCTTTGATTCTGCATTAAGACGCATCATAATCCCCTTTTCGAAGCATCACTATAAACTTCAAAATCCTCACCCTCTACTGGTAAAGCCAAGACTGGTGCTGAAGTTAATCGATGTTTCAATTCTAAGAAAGAAGACTCACACCCACGATCCCAATTAATCATTGTGTCCTTCTTCAGCAAATTAGTTAATGGCTTCACAACCTTTGAAAAATCAAGAAAGAATCTTCGGTAATACCCTGCCAAACCCAAAAAGCTTCTTACTTCTAATTGATTGGTAGGTCTTGGCCAATCCGAGATTGCCGCAACTTTAGAAGGATCTACTGAGATACCCTTACCAGACACTACATGCCCCAACAAAGCAACCTTTTTCAACCAAAACTCACATTTGGATAACTTGGCATATAACTTCCTCGCACGCAGTGTGTTTAGTGTCACACGCAAATATTTTGCATGTGTCTTTTTATCTGGAGAATATACCAAGATATCATCGATAAATATCACCACAAACTGATCGAGGTATGGTTGAAAAATTCGATTCATCAATTCCATAAACGCTGCCAGGGCGTTGGTCAAGCCAAAGGACATAACAGTAAATTCGTAATGACCGTATCTAGTGCGAAAAGCTGTCTTAGGAATATCATGCTCTGCAACCCTTAGTTGATAATATCCAAACCTCAAGTTAATCTTTGAGAATACACTTGCACCTCTCAGTTGATCAAATAGATCATCAATTCTCGGAAGAGGATATTTGTTCTTTACCGTTACTTTATTCAGCCCACGGTAGTCAATACACAACCTTAAGCTTCCATCTTTCTTTTTCACAAATAAAACTGGAGCACCCCAAGGCGACGTACTAGGACAAATGTAACCTTTATCCAGTAATTCATGTAGTTGCAATTTAAGTTCAGCGAGTTCTAACGGTGCCATGCGATATGGGGCTCTTGATACTGGCTCGGCACCTGACACAATATCAATAGTAAAATCCACCTCACGAGCTGGTGGCATACCAGGAATATCATCAGGAAATACATCAGGAAAATCTCAAACCACATGAATATTTTGCAACCGCTGCTCCCCTTGCTTCAAATCTCTTACCTCACACAGATATACTGGATACCCCTTACGAATAAGTGCTTGAAATGATAGGGACAAAATTACCTTCATAGAAGGTTGTCTTGCAGATCCTGCATAGCTCACTTGTTCACCCATCGCTCCAACCAACGAAATTGATCTTTTTCGACAATCAAATTGAGCTTGATATGCCATTAACCAATCCATCCCCAGTATCACATCGAACTCGGATAACTTCATACTCAACAAGTATGTAGCAAAATCAACTCCCTCAATACTAACCGGAATTTGCATATAGAGTTCTCGGCACTCCAGTACTTCTCGTGATGGAAGTAAAACTTCCACTACCACTTCTACCGATGAATTCAGACCCAATCTCTTAACCAAACGTTTAGATATGAACGAGAACGTTGCACCCGAATCAAATAACACAATAGCTGACAAACCGCAAATAAGAAATCTACCTGTTAGAACCTCACCTGGGTGATGATCAGCCTCTGTTTGGGTAACAACATTTATTCTGCCACGCTGGTCAGGTCCTCTGTCTAGCTGCCTAGATGATGGACGTGACTGGCTTCGACCACCTCGCCATGATGATCCTAATCCTCTCCCCTGTGACTGTGAAGATGGCTGCTGCCATGGCCTAAATCTCGGTTCTGGAAACTCCCTTGCAGTTACCACACTTGGGCATAGCCTGGCAATATGACCACTACCACCACACTTAAAACATGTTAATGGAACTTCATCACAATGGGTACCTGAATGACTTGTTCCACAACGTCGACAAACAACCCCCGATTATTGAAACCTTTCTTGACTCGATTATTTAATCGAAACCCTTTTATACGGTGGCCCAGATCTGAATATTTGCCACCATTTATTTTTACCATTTGGTTCGTCCTCCACCTCAGCTTTTCCTTTATCTCGAAACTGATGTTGATACCCCATTTCCTTCTTACTGCCCTTCTGCCTGACTTCCTGCTTCTGATAGAATCGGGCAGCACGCTCGTAAGCCTCATACAACGAACTGATATCCAACACAGCTAAAGTTTCTTGAATCCTCTGCTGCAACCCATCTACAAAATGATCAACTCTATCTCGCTCACAGGAAAAGTAGTCAGGAACATACATCTCCAACTCATTGAACTTTACAAAATAGTCCTCGACTGACATCGAACCCTGCTTCAAGTCCAGCAGCTTTTGCTTCTTTGCTTTTCGAACATGTGACGGTATAAACCTAGCATTTAATTTTGCTTTAAACTCATCCCAAGTCAAATCCACTTGGTCCACTCCCGCAGCTTCCTCACCTAACCACCACCGATTTGCTCGACCTTCCAAGAAATTAGCCCCGATATTGGCTCGTTGATCTGGTGGAACCTGAACAACACGAAATATCTTTTCCATCTTTTTAACCCAGAACTCAAGAACTTCAGGCTCTACGGAACCAAAATATGTTGGTGGGTTATGCCGCATCACAGCATCAATAAAACTCCTCTGTTGAGGCATCATCGTAGCCATAAACTGCCGGAAGAAATCCTGACTAGGTGCCTCTATTGGTAGATGATCTGGCACAGGATATTGTGCCTTATCAGACGAAGGATCTAGCTCTGGGCCTCGATAGCCCTACGTAAACCATCACCTCGAGAATTTGACATATTGCCCCCCCGACTTCCCTGATTCAATATCAACTCAGCAACACAACTAAACCAGATATAACATTAAAGTTTTAGCAACATTAACATGAATGCACCCACAAAACCCAAATCTCACCAAACCAATTCAATATCATCATTATTTTCAAAACCTTTTTAATTCAAAGAGCCAAAATCTACCAAACCTATGCTCTGATACCAACTTGTAACACCCCCAGTTGGCTCATACTGGAAATGCTACCGCCACACTGCATCATGAGGTCGTCACCTTCTACTTCGGGCCCCACAATACAGTGTTAAGGCTAAATTAACCATAAAAGCGCATTATTATATACCAAAATCTGATTTATAAATATTTACAGAACACACCCCTTAACAAGAGGTTTTCCGGTTAAAAATTTACATATAATACAATAGACATAAGTTCACTCACTCAGCCCGTCTTTCTATATTCCGAGACGTCCCCTGTCTCGGATGTGCCATGCATACCTAAAACAAATATTTTTCTGAAAAGCAGTCTAGAATTAAATCCATTTTAAGAACTAACGTGAAATATGTCATGTCATACCTTTTAAAATAAAGTCTAATTCACGTCAATCATAAAATACGTGTCATGTCATGCCAATAGTGAAATGATGCAATACAGATATCAAACTCGACAACAATGCACATCCACATATATATACATATATACATCCGCCGAAGTGAGCAGCCGGAATAACCTCGGCTCTATAATCATAAGCTCACTACATTTGTCTAAGTGAGCAGCCGGAATACCCTCGGGCCCGTAATAACAAGCTCACTAGACTATCATCAATAAATAGCCGGAAAATCCTCGGCTCAAGGAAGGACCTGATAAACCCATAATAATATAACGGTCATCCGGTCACTTCCATATACTCACCATACGACTCCCACAATCAATACATGGATAGCCGAACGCTGTCGCCATTAACCACAAGACGCCCCATAGTCTGTGATAGCGAAGATAGGACCCCCACTGACTAGCCCTATCCCGTGTAATATAGTAGAATCCGTGCAACCTGGAATCACCCAAGGGAAACCTGGAAACTCTACTCCTCCTCGCGCGCCCTAACGGGATCACGTTTGGAGTTTGGCATATGATCCTAAACTACCGGTAGACCTCACTAGTGATCAGTCCAATGAGTGGAACAACACCAAACACGAATGATTAGACCAAATACGTCTCAACTACAATGGGTCTAATCCCTGAATGACCATGCAACTAAGTCACCCAGTTGTCCGACTACTATCGTCCACTATCGCCAAAGTGTTACGGTACATCGGGGTCGAATATCCTAACCCCAGATGATGCCCTCACCTAGCACTACCGCACATGGCAACTAAACGATAGATCCATAAAATATATCCGATAAACCGTGCAATATGTGTGCAACATGCCAAATAAGTGAATTTACCGAAAAGGGCTGGTGAGATAGCTCACCTATCCTCCTTTTCATAAATTCACCAACGCGATCAAATACGTATATCAAATATCATAAACTGTGAAGTCTCCCACATGCATACGCACACATATATATAAATATATACATGCACTGACAAAATGATTCACATAATATCACCTTAACATATTAATCAGAATTGCATGCAACATGCATACCTAATTTCTTAAAATTAGATTTAATTCCCTACTGCTTACCTCTTATCGACACTCCTTAGCTTTCGCAATTTCACCCAAATCTCTTCCAACGTACACCTGCCCCATTATTTACTCAAATCAGCTGAGCTATATGCTTATACATAAGAGCTACCTGCTTTTGTTAATTTCTATAGTTAGCTCGTTGGGTTTCAAACTTTTATATTTAGTAGACTACGATATTCTAGTTATAAAACTCTTATACCTCATAATATTTATATCGCCCGATTATTAAATAAAAATACTTAAAAATATGAATAAACAGGCAGGTGCAGTACACTGCCGTTTTCGATTCGGCTCGGATCGATACAAAATTCTCAGAATATAATGCTAGGACTACGAATAGGCTATTAGCTAAAGAAATTCGCCGATTAAATAGCCAAATAGCCAGTTATGAATTTTTGAAGAATTTCTAATTTAATATTCCCAATATTAAAATTCATATTAAAATTCATAATTAAATTCTACGTATAACAAGGAATACAATACCAAAGTCGGAATCGAAATCAAACGGCTAAATTTTTTTCTTTTTTTTTTTCTCTTCTTTCTCGTTCGCGTTCTTTGCTTCGGCTTCCTTCACAGGTGAGTTTGGTTTACAGATATAATTATATTATTATTATTATATATTATATTATATTATTATTAACGTTATTATTATTATCATCCTTATCTTTATATTTTATTATATATATTATATATTATATTTTATATTTAATATTTATCTTTACCGATATTTATTTATTTAACAGTCTTTTTAATCGTAATCAATGTATAAAATAAGAATAAAATTTATTTCAGAATATTAATTTCTTGATCCCAAAATATTATAAAAATATTTATTTGCTATAATAATATTATTTTATATACTCTAAAATCGGAGTATTACAAATTCAACCTCTTCTTTTCATCCGACCAATTCAGCCCCTCCTTCCCATCCGACCAATCCATGCTCTCCTTCCCATTCGACCAATTCAGTCACTTTCTCTCATCTTTCCATCTCAACTTTACGTTTCTCATCCGACCAAATTAGCGTCTTCCATGGCAACGGACTGGACTGTTATGCTCTTTCCATTCAACCAAATTAGCCACTTTCTCTCTTCTTTCCATCCCAATCCAATTTTTCTCTTTCAATTTGACCAATTCGATCAGATTTTTTTTATTTTTTCTCTTCTCTATTCTCTCATTTTTTCAGGTAAGTTTATTTATTTAAATTTATATATTGTAATTTTTAAAAATAAAAAATTGACATGACTGTTGTTTGTCGTTTTCCATCCGACCAGGGCAAAGAAAGCACTCGTTTTGTACCACTTAGCGTTCAAACTTAATCTATGTTTCTGTACTTTTTCCATTTACCATAGCCCTGAGTATTGATGCTGGTTCCTTTTTTTGCAAAAGAAATTTGTAGGAAATAAATGATATTTTTTACCAAAGAGATGCTTGTCGTCTCATGTACATATTTTGTTTCGCCTCCTTGCAAATACTGCAGCTATTGTACCACGATTCTTCATTCTATAATTTAATGTTACCAATTGATGGGAGTATGGATTTGTAAAGTGTGTAAGCTTCAGTGTTTGAGAAAACATGACAGTCACATGGTCTCATTTAAATGAAGATCTTTTGTGGGAAATTATTACTATGCTTTTTGTTCCATGAGATTGGCTATGATAGAATTAAAAGCTATTGTCAAGATTTCCATGTGATATAGCGTGTTTGGGAGAGGTGAACTGTATCAACAAAGTGATGCTTTAAACATGAAATGATAAATGCGTCTGATATATTTATGGTCATCTGCAGAGATTCTTGAAATGCATCGTGTTGCAAGTGCTGGCAACAGTAATTCAACGTCAGTACGTAGTCGCAAGGAAAAGAGGTTGACTTACCTATTAAATGATGCAGATAATATGAAGGTGCTGCTGCTTCAATTAATTCCAAAAAAGTCTCACTAATTAATTTTATTTGTATTGGAGATTGGGAAGTTGACAATGTACATGCATAAGAATGCTTTATCTTTGGGCCTTCCCCCTGTACTCTCTCCAGGAGATCACTGCTGATGAAGTTCATTTTATTTTCTTGTTTCTTGGTAATCAACTGATCACAGTTTCAACAAATTTAGAAGTTTGATTGGAGGTGATGGTTTGATGTTAGGGTTACTTATCCTATTTGCTATTTGGTTTACTGAAAAATCAGTAAAAGTTGACATGTTGCATTATGGGGAGGCATTAGCTTGCAGAAGAATTCTGAATTTATTTCCTACATTAATAGCAAGGATTTTTTTAGTTCTTCTTCAAGTGAAGAACAATATTGTTCATTCTTAATTTTGATTTGTTGAAGTGATTGTTATTTGAGGAGGGATGTTTTTCACACATTCCGAGTTGTTTTCCTCTTGCAAATAGTTTGAACACTTAGAACTTTACTGGTCGTACTGATTAATAAAGATGGTGATCAAGGACACAGTTTTCTATCATTTGTTTTGAAAGACTAATAAATTGTATGAGGAATCTCCAATCAGACAGATACTAAATTCCACTTACATTTTGCTAAAAATGGTTGTCCAACAGGGCATGCTATTATAAAGCCTTCACTGATACAAGATGTCTACCTTCAGTACCTTGATGATGGAACATTGAACTTAAAGTACTTGTGTTTTCATTGGCAGCATTCTTCTGGTGTGAACTGTTTAGCTGTCTTGAAGTCTTCAGGACAAGATGGATGCAATTATCTCTTTATTGGTAGAGAATAATTTTTTTAATAATAAGGAAAAAATAAACTTAAAAAAAATATAATATAAAAAAATATTTTGAAAAAAGAAAAAAAAAAATTGAAATTGATTGTTTAGACAGTTATAAAAAATATATAATTCATTCTTATTTATCTGTTTCTTCCATTCCTCGGTCAGCCACTTCCTTTGTATTCAAAATATTTATATTTATATTCTTTATTTATTTAAATTTATATATTAATGTAATTTTTAAAATATCAATATGTACATCATTTTATAGATAATTATTTTTTAAATAATACCAAAAATAAAAGTATGATATATAAATTAAATTTTTAAAAATTAATTAGTTGCACAGTTATATAAAAAAAATATTTATATAATTGATTCTGTTACGTACGAAATTTAGAATTAGGTTAAAAGCCCAAGGTAAAAAGAAGAATGGGCCTGGCAATAGGGT